GGAGGAGAAGAAGACGAGGGGGAGGCGGAGGAGGAGAGGAGAAGAGGAGAAGAAGAAGAAGAAGAAGATGGCGGCGGGGGCAGGGCGGTAGGGTATGGTGGTGGGGTATGGCGGCGGGCTGCAGTGGCGGTCCTACAAGAAGAAGAAGAAGAAGAAGAAGAAGAAGATGGGCGGAAGAGGAGGCGGAGAAGAGAAGAGGAAGGAGAAGAAGATAAGGGGGAGGCGGGGGAGGAGAGAATAAGAAGAAGAACAAGAACAAGAAGAAGAAGAGATGGAGGAGAGAAGAAGAAGAGGAAGAAGAAGAAGAAGAAGAAGAAGAAGAAGAAGAAGAAGATGATGAGAGGGGGGCGAGCGACGGGCGACTCCACGACGCTGGCGACGGGCGACGGGCGACTCCACGACGACGGGGGAGTGCAGCTCCCAGGCGATGGCGACAACTGGCAGTGTGAGGAGCGAGGGCGGCTGAACCACAAACGCAGGCAGCTGGAGAAGGGGCCCCGTTTGGACAGCCGATGCAGGCCGCCCCAGCCAGTCCGTTGTTCAAACGGGGCCTTGATTTTCCCTCCAAAAAACAAATGGCCCTCTGGCCGTCGATCATAGATGATCGACGGCCGGAGGGCCGTCACAAATTCAAAAAAAAAAACTGGCCTCACGGGCCCGACGCGCCGTTTTTTGGGCCTGGTCGGACCCGGTAGGCCCTGGGGAGGCCAGAACTTGGCGATTCGGGGTCAGAACCCCCCCCCCCCCAACAAGGTGTGCTGGGGGTGCCCGGCCCCCAACCGGGCTACCCGCCCGGCCAGGCCACCCAGGGCCTCCCCCGGGCAGGCGCTGGTCGGCCAGGCGGCTTGGATCCGTACACAGAGAAAAAGTTATTTTTTATTTTAAATTTCGTGAAGAATTTCGCTGTGACCCTGAGGCAAAAGTTTATTTTTCTGCATAACATAGTTTTTTTTGGATTTTTTTTATTATTATTATTATTTTGCTGGGACCTTCCCTGGTCCTCGCACGGGCTGGCCACCCGGGACCCAGGCGGCCCGGCTGGTAGCCTAGATAATAATCTAATAAAATAACTTTGACTTTAAATAAGTTTAAATGGCACAAAACCTCAAGAGGATAGTCCAGCTTTACCTTTCCCCAGGGTTGGCAGATCCTCACCACAAATCCTGCCAGTGCTAAGAGTCCCCCCCCTTCCTATTTCAGGACCTACTGGAGAGGTCTAAAAGACGAACTATACGTACATCTCAGAGAGAGAGACAAAAGTCTAGAAATTTATCGTAAGCGGATGAAAGACTGCACACTTCAAAAAAAAAAAAAAAAAAAAAAAAAAAAGGCAAACTACGAGGCAGAACTTAACGATGTCAACAAAAAATTCAAAAATGTTAAAACTGAAACCAACAGCAGCCGGATAGTGCATTTCCTTTCCCCTTTCCTGTGCCCCCTCAGCAATTAAAACCGTGACTTGAACAGCCAACGGGCATATCACTTCCACGTGACATGACCCAGTAGGCCCACAATTTGTTTTTGTTTTCAATTTTCGAAATTTCTTGATACGTGTGTGTCATCCTTGCGCGCAGAGACCAAGCGAACCTTCGCCGAATAGGTTCAACAGGGTCACATCGAAATTCTTCACCGAATTCAAAATTATATATATATATATTTTTTTTAAAACAACAGAATTTCGAAATTTTTTATTTTAAATTCGGCGCTCCATGGTCGGGAAAACTAACAGGTTCAACAGAATAGGTTCAGGGCCACTAGCAGTTTAAGAAGCAGCAGAGGTGAGGATAAAACCTGGCAAAGGGCAAAGGCAAACAGAAAATCAAGCAACAATGTACTAAATGTTTAATGTAAATTATGCATATCGAAAGAAAGAAAAGAAAAAAGAAAAAGAAAAGGGACAGCGTCGAGCGATGCATATAAAAAAAAAAAAGAAAAAGGAAAAGGAAATATGTGGGGTGAGATAAAAAAATATACGGCTGTCCCCCGATGCAGAGAACTTGGAGAAGGCAGCTTTCAACAACAAAAAGAAAGAGAGAGAGAGAGAGAGAGAGAGAGAGAGAGAGAGAGAGAGAGAGAGAGAGAGAGAGATGCATATCACTTTCACCAGAGCATGCAACCAACTCTGAGCTTGTCATTAACCCAGAAGAATGGCAGAATCAATGCTGTTCAGGGGTCCTTTGGCCAAACCCAAGGAAGCGTGCAGATGTATTACGTTGTGCATATGTGACTTGCCGGTGGAGAAGGAACCGGACTGATGCTGGCTTGTTTTGTTATGTACAAGTGGACATGACGCAGCAACTCCTCGCCCCAGGTCCAATCCTGCCTATACAGCGCCACATCGGAACTGGCGGCCCCATTTGGGATAGGCCATACAGTGTGGATCCGACGTTGCCAATCCACCAGTCAACATTCAACATGGAACATTTTGAGGCCCATAAACACCGGAGTTAGAGTAGTGAGTGGAGAGAGACACATACCTCTCTCTCTCTCTCTCTCTCTCTCTCTCTCTCTCTCTCTCTCTCTCTCTCTCTCTGAGGTGGTGTTGTGCATGAAGAGGGGGAGAGTTGGTGTTGTGCGTGTAGACAGGGAGAGTTCTGATCAGGTTGTGCAGGGCTGCTACGTACTTGCATTACATTCTGGCCGCGGCCCGTGTTGTTCGACGTCGTGCCGCCAAAACGACCTGCATGGTTACACTCGGCCCAAGCTACAGCCCATGTTGTTCGACGTCGTGCCGCCAAAACAACCCACGCGCTTGCACTCGACCTCGCGCCACCAAAACAACCCGCACATTTACACTGGACCTCGTACCACCAAAAAGATACGCGTGACAAAAAGGCAGCAAAAGAAAAATGGAACAGCGGCACCCATACCACCTCCCGCCACAACTTATCCTGGACCTCCCCGGGGAGCCATTACCCGGGGCCGGTTTTACGTTTAAAAGGAGAATAAATATAGAACAAATAAAAGAAAAAAGGTTTTCCCAGATAACACAAGTCCGGGCACAGGGAGCCGCAATCACGTCAGGAGAAAACAAAGCAAAAGGAAGAATGCAAACAGACAGCCCAGCAACATTGCAATAAATGATGCATATAACTTTTCCCGCTGGGGCATGCCACCAAAGGGAAGATTTCCCCGGCTTTCACACACAAGTGTGGGCGTGCGGAATCACAATCAAGTAAGGTGATCAGCCAGACTATCATTGGAGGAGGAGAAGGGGAAGGGGAGAAGGGGGGGGGTCTCTATAGTTGATGCACACTAGACTCTGCAGAAAAAGATTAGAAACCACAGAAAGAGGATGGAGAAGGTGGATGACGACAACAACAAAACAGAACCTTTTCAGGAACGCGGAAGATCAAATCTGCCTGACATGATAAACATGTACAAACTACAAAGTTACTACAAACGACGTAAATTAAGAAAAGAAAAAAAAGAAAAAAGGTAAAAAGTACTAAGAACTGTAAAATACCATAGCCCTGGAATCAAGTACAAAAGGATTCATTCTCTCATTTAATGACCCACCCTAACGAGGCCGATCTCTATATTCGACAGGCGACAAGATCGCACGACAACAAGAAGCAAAAGTAGTAATCAGCAGTAGCTGCACTCTCACCTCCAGATTGGTAGAGTGGCTCTGCAGATGAATCCACACCCTCGTCGCACCTATACACAGTCTGCCCTTCACCAATCATCTCATTCACGAAGTTCGGTGCGGTGCAAAACGCCTTGCATTCATCAATAGTGCCATTAATGGCACTACCCATTCCCAGCAACTCCAGGGATCCCAACAGAGTGGTGAGATGGCTTCTCATGTGCCCGTCTGCATTGTCGGGATTACACCCTATACGCAGTCTGCTCTTCACCAATCATCTCATTCACGAAGTTCGGTGCGGTGCAAAACGCCTTGCATTCATCAATAGTGCCATTAATGGCACTACCCATTCCCAGCAACTCCAGGGATCCCAACAGAGTGGTGAGATGGCTTCTCATGTGCCCGTCTGCATTGTCGGGATTACACCCTCGTCAGACCAATCGAGCCTGTTGCAAATCGCCACCGATTCACCAATCATCCCATTGGCATGGGGGGCCGTATTCCGAATCGCGACTATTCCTGGAGTCTGCAATTTGGAACACGCCTATTCCTGGAGTTGCTGGGTTCTCGTGCGCCGTATTCCAATCGCAGACTAGCCTTTCGCCGATCATCTCGCTCGAACGGTTTGGTCTGTTCCTGCTATCGCAAATGAACAGCAAGCTGTCTCATTCGCATGCGTCGTATTCCGGAATCGCGACTATTCCTGGAGTCTGCGATTTGGAATACGTCTGTTCCTGGAGTTGCTGGATTCTCGTGCCCCGTATTCCAAATCACAGACAAGCCTTTCGCCGATCATCTCGTTCACACGGTTCGGTCTGTTCTTGCTATCGCAACTGAACAACAAGCTGTCTTGCATTTATCAATATTGTCATCCCTGCTGCACTCCTTGGCACTACCTCTTCCCCAGAAACCCACAAAGTCACAGCCGAACGGCGAAATGTGTTATAGTCACAACGGAAGGGTGAGATGTGTTGCCCTGCGCCTGTCTACAGCGTCGCGATCACTGCTCAGCCTGCTGCACCGTCCACTGCTGCTATTACAGTGGATGGCGAGGCAGCTTGCGTTCATTTACCTGCTGTTACTACTGGCACCCTTCTTGGTCTTCGGGTCCGCCCCCCCGCCTTTACCTCTATTGCACCCAGTCACTTCGCCCGACCTACCTGCGAATCTCCTACACTCTGCAAGTTTCGTCGAGGTGGTTCTGCCGCTGAGCGTTCACACCAAGCAAGCAAACAGCTTTCAGAATCCAACTGCACATTACTTGGAACACAACAGCTTGAGCATTCAAAGGGAGATGAAAGGCTCAAGGATTAAATGTCATTCCAACTTTGAAAGATTAAAAACACATTGAACATGGCAACAAGTAGTACATGGACTCAAGAAACTCCCTCATTTCAAAAACAAAAAGCTCAAGAAGAAAGTACGAAGAAAGTCGAAAAGAACTAACAGCGCTTTCAGAACTACAAAATCTCTTCTGTTTACCAGGCTGACTTGCCTGCTCAAATTCCGGCAGCTTCAGCTTGGTCCTGCTCACTACTTTTGACAACCTGCTCTGAACGCTCAACCACTGCTGTAGCGCCTTCAGCGACTGTATCGTCTCTTTCACCTGCTGGTTCTGACAAAGCCATTCCTCCTTCGCTCGCTCCCTCGCCTCCTCCTCCTCCTTCTCCCCCTCTTCCTACAGCTGACGCGGAGGGCGTAGTCGACAGGCTCGCACTTTCCGATGACTGGCCAGCGCCCCTGTGGTAGGAGAGTGACCGTTGCATCCCCCTACCTGGCATAACGCCTAATCGCATTGCACCAAGACTGGTCGTCGAACCAACACTGCTGCTACCGCATCTCGGAAACAGAGAAGGGGCTGTGGGCCTTAGCGGCGGCCCAGAGACTGGGAGACTGGAGTTGCTGGGAGAAGGGCCTGTATCACCTCCATCTCCAACTGTTCCCTTTACACTGCTTGCCGCTGGACCACCAGATTTCTCTCGCTCCCACTTCCAGGATGTTGGTGGGCCTGGGACAATTTTCGCTGCACCTCTGCCAAAAGGCGGTCTTACCTGATGGAACACAGCTGCAGGCTTGAATGGGACGCAGGGTATGACAACTGGAGCCGGCACCGGCACTGTTGCGTTGAGGGAGAGAGACGAGCGCCCCAACTGGAATCCTGGCACAGGCACGGGTGAGGTAATAGGTCCCGGAGTCGCCTCAACTGCCTTGCTCTTTTCTACAACCTGCGTCGATCAGAGACAATCAACAACAAACAAATGGGTTTCAGTCTTTCAGACCACTGTCGGTCTTCAATCAACCACAGTTAAAATAACAAACGTACTTAAAAAAAAAAAAAAAAAAAAAGTTAAAACCACCAGTACGTTCTAGGAACATTCCTCCGGCGCTGGAAACGCGCTATGCGGCAAACACAAAACGAACCGGCGCGAGCCTCCTTTTGGCTGGCGTCGCCAGCCATTTTGCTCCGGGCGGCGGAGCCCCGAAAGTTGTGGCAGCATGCACGCCTCGACTTTGAAAAAATGGGTCGAAAACGTGCTGGTGCTTGACCACTAATAAAAGGCCAGCGCCTACGGGCCTCCATGCATGTCTGTCTACACTTTGCAATCTGACACCTGACATGGGAGGTTGACTCCGTTTCTTTTTTTTTCCGAACTCGAGACTTATTGTATCGCATTCATCTAGTTCCATCTGGACTTGAGCTCTGGTCTGTATATCAACAGTTCATGGGTATACCAGCTGAGCTAGGTCCATTGGTATGGGAACGGAATCTCGCAATCTGCCACTGAGACTTTCATATTTTTGTCACACAGACCTGGGCGTAGCCTAGGTAGGCCCATGCCTCTCGTGGCGAGGCGGCAGTTTGGGGGCAGGGTGGGGAAGACCTCCGCGGTCCGACCATTCCACAACAGACTCCAAGGGCCAAACATTCGAGTTTGATCACATACAGTCCACGAGAATTAGTGTGGTGTCTTGGAGTGGTCATTTTATTATTAATGATTGTAACAGCTTTTATTGGGTATGTGTTGCCATGGGGCCAAATGAGTTTTTGGGGAGCTACCTGTGGAATTTGGTCCAGCAGACGCCTTTTTTGAAACTAAAAGCTAATCGTTTGAGTGGTTTTCCTTTCCAGCAACTGTTTTTCATACAGCTTCGCTCCCGAATCCTTTTTGTGTTTTTTAAACTTTTTTTTGCTTTGCTTTTCCAAACGGGTTGCTACAGTGACAGGTAAGCGGGAGCATGGTTTCCAGATTGATTGCCCAAGTGGCTCTCTTCATGTCCAGAGCATAGTCAAGGTGAAAAGACTCGGAGATTCCAATTGCATGAAGTACAGTTGCAACCAGCGGGCCTAGCTCCGTTGGTACACACCCATGAACTGCTGACATACAGACTTGAATCCAGATCCAACCATGTTGATACTGAAGTAACTAAGCAGCACAAAAAATAATTGTGAATTACCTGGGATCAGTCGGTTGACTCAGTTCACAAGGCCGTTGTCGCTTTAAATTCTTTAATAGTAAAAAAAAAGAAAAAGAAAACTTAGAAAAGAAAGGGAGGTTGCCGAGACAAAAAAATATATGCCGTAGGCAATTTGCCTAGCTCAGATGGTATGCGCCGCTGAACTGTTGAAATACAGACTTGAGTTTGAACTGCACTGGAAGCGGACGAGTAAAATACTAGAATTCTCGAGTTCCCTAGGGCCGGTCAGTTCTATGATGATATCTCCAGCCAGTTGCTCTTTAAACCACGAGTACTTCCTAAAGCCGTGCCCGTAAACAAGCCACAATTTTAGGAAACGTATGGGCCATTACAGGAGCGCCCAAATTCATCCAACTACAAACGTTTCTACTCTATTTTATTTTCCATGGCCGACTACTGGTGGTATAACAACAGCAACAACAACATAATCTGCCCTCACCAGGCTGGCTGTCTGCCCATGGGCGATAGCTGGGCCAAGTACTACCGTCTTCACCCAAATAAAACGCCCGGTGATTATCGCTGCATGTGGACTGAAAGTTGTGCCTAATGCAGCTCTCATGACCAGGCGTTCTGTTTGGGTGAAGACGGTAGTGGTTTAACAACAACAACAACAACAACAACAACAACAACAACAACAACAACAACAAAAGTACTACCGTCTTCACCCAAATAAAACGCCCAGTGATTATCGCTGCGTGTGGACTGAAAGTTGTGCCTAATGCAGCTATCATGACTGGGCGTTCTGTTTGGGTGAAGACGGTAGTGGTTTAACAACAACAACAACAACAACAACAACAACAACAACATTATCTTCCCTCACCGGGCTGGCTGGTTGCACAGACACATCCACTATGGATATGGACAACCCAGAGGCTGCTGGCATGGTGAAAAGCAGAAGGGCAAAGGCTCAAAACCAGTTCATTACAAATAACATAAAGTGATAAACAGAGCAAGTTACAAGGGCGAGAACAAAAGTTAAAAAAAAACGAAGGCACACATTTGCCTTCTTCTTGGCAGGAAACAAAACAAAAAAAAAAACGCAAAGTGAACAAGGTCACAAAGGTATATCATGTACCGACGGGCCTAGCTCAGTTGGCACACCCATGAATTGTTGAAATCTGGAACGGAGTTCGATTCCAGACCGTAGCAGAAAGAAACGATGACGGTTAATTCGACTGAAATGTGAGCAGGAAAGTCACCAAGTCCAGCAGTGATAAGAGACGAGCCTTAGCGACTCTCAAGAGTGCAGCTGCTGAATCTTTACAAGATTCTTTAGACATAAAAAAAAAAAAAAAAAACAGGAGGAAGAAGGAAGTGTGGACGCAGTTATCTGGCACCCATGCCTTGGCGGCCTGCTGGACTACAACTGGGGTGTGGTCCACAAGTCATTTTATTCAATGGAATTTTTTTTTAAATTGCTTGAAAATAATTCGAAGATTTCTGAAAAAATAACAATAAAAGATTCTGGGATAGTCTATGGCATATTTGGTCCCTCAGAAAACAAAAAAACAAAACAAAGGATGAAGTCGGGAAAAAGGAAGGCACTGGGGGGTGGGGGAAGATGAAAATGGGGGCGCAGCTACCGGCAAAATGCGGCAAAATGCTCGGTCCTTCACTTAACCGAGCCACTACCGGCCGCCCCAACACTGCACCCTAAACCACTAGGGCAAGGGGCAACATGCAATCCCTCCATTGCTAGGTAGCTATGCTTGCAGGGGTCCCCTGTATAGCCTTTAGGAGCCATGGCAGGTAGGTAGTGAAATATGGACTGACCTAGGCTACCAGAGTGGCCCGGGACGACTTGCCCAGTCGGGCTCAAAAAAAATAAAAATAAAATTATAAAAACTTTAAAAAGTCGATTTTTTTTTTTTGGTAAAGAATTTCAATGTGACACTGAGTCAAGAGTTGTTCAGTTTCCCTTTCTTTCACTTTTTTTTTTTTTTTTTTTTTTTGGCTTTGACTTCCCCTGGTCCTTGCACAGCCGGGCTGCCCGGGAAAACAGGGTGACCCGCGCGGCCCCAGCTGGTAGCCCAGGAATTGACTCAATTGAGAGAACAATATTGCCTAACTTTTCACCAAAAAAAAAAAGAAAAAAACAGAAAGCATTTCTCAGGGTGGAAAATCCAGAAGTGTTTTTTTTTTTT